AAAAAAACGCCATTATTTTATATGAAAAAGTTAATAATTGTATTTTATTGTCAAAATATTTTTGTTTGTCTTGTTGAGCTGTCAAACGATTAATCGCGATTAATCGTATCCTAAATAAAAGTTTGTGTTTACATAATATATGTGGGTGCACTGTGTATAATTATTTGATTTATATAAATGCACACACATGCATGTATATTTAAGAAAAATTATTATTTATGTAAATCTATATACAGTATGTATATGAACATATTTCTTAAATATACACAAGCATGTGTGTGTATATATATATATATATATATATATATATAACAATTATACACAGTGCACCCACATATGTAAACACAAACTTTTATTTTGGATGCAATTTATCGCGATTACATTCATTCTTTCAGAAATCAAGAAAAAAGTACTATACACTGTATTAAAGTAAGGTGGCCCAGTAGTGCACAACACAACGAGATTTAAAAAGCACAACACAAAAAGTGCACAACACAACGGAAATGCTTCCGAGTCCCGACCACCAGTCTGAAATCATTATGATTTGATGCTCAATAAACATTGATGATTATTATCAGTGTTGAAAACAGTTCTGCTACTTGTGGAAACTTTAATATGAAATTTTAAAAATTGAATTTTTTAAAAAAAATCTAATTTTAATATGAAAAGTGTTGCTTTAGACTGTGTGTTATCTGTTATCAGATCTTTTAAAGATGTGCTTTATTCATTTATGCAAATCCATTTTAGAAATCCCGACCAGACGATGTTTGACGGCCATGTCCAGGTCAAAGAGTAGGACTACGGTCACCCAATATATACAGTTGTCGTGAAATTGAATTACTTAATTGAACTGTGATATAAGATTTGGCCATATTGCCCATCTTTAAGTCATTCATTATCTGTGACTTGCAAAGGCTTGCGTTTGGTTTGGTCTCACCACAAGGTGTCACTGTGGCCTGAAAGCTTCAGCTCTGACACTCTGAGCTCGACTGTTGATGTCTGAGGTAAAACACGGCCCATCATTAAAGGGTTAGTTCACCCAAAAATGAAAATTAAGTCATTAATTACTCACCCCCATGCTGTACCAACCCCGTAAGACCTTCGTTCGTCTTCGTAACACAAATGAAGATATTTTTGATTAAATTTGAGAGCTGTATAACTACCACATTGGCTCCTAAGGGACTGCCTCTTGACGGCCCAAAAAGTCAATGAAGAAAATGTTTAAATATCCCAAGTGACTACCGTGGCTCAACTATAAGTTTATCAAGCGACGAGAATACTTTTTGTGCGAAAAAACAAACAAAAATAACGAGTTTATTCGACTATTCCTTTTCTTCCTTGTTGGCCTGAAACGAGACTTCCTTAGATTTCCACGACGCATGCGCGAGAACTGAACTGAAGTAGTTGAAGGAGATCGAAATTCTCGCGCATGCGTCGTGGAAATCTATGGAAGTTTCGTTTCAGGCCAACAAGGAAGAAAAGGAATAGTCGAATAAAGTCGTTATTTTTGTTTGTTTTTTCGCACAAAAAGTATTCTCGTCGCTTGATAAACTTATAGTTGAGCCACGGTAGTCACTTGGGATATTTAAACATTTTCTTCATTGACTTTTTGGGCCGTCAAGAGGCAGTCCCTTAGGAGCCAATGTGGTAGTTATACAGCTCTCAAATTTAATCAAAAATATCTTCATTTGTGTTCCGAAGACGAACGAAGGTCTTACGGGGTTGGTACAGTAATTAATGACTTAATTTTCATTTTTGGGTGAACTAACCCTTTAATCACAACACAAACAAGCAACACTTAAGGCCGTTAATTAATAACTGAGAAGTCCACTTGGAACAGATCCAAGGGCAAGGCGATAGCCGTCGTAGATGCTCGGTCACAGCTGGGGCGAGGCTTTAGGTCAAGGACACACAGCAGAGATAACGACAGATGACAGCGGGGAGCTGCGGCAGCATAGATAAGCTCGGCACTGTACACTGAGAACTGGTTAGAGCATAAGCAGACAAATACTTGCAGCAAGATGATTTCTTCCATGACAGGACAAGAGTGTATAGACAGGTAAATTGCAAAACACTTCTTTCAACAGTAGTCAAAGAATAATCCGACAAAGAGACAGCAGGAAGAGAGAAAAAAAAGTAGCAAATGCAATTAGAGAGAAAGGGGAACAGGTGTGAAGTAATAAGACAAAAGCAGCGAGAAATAAGTAAGTGAGTAATTAAAGGAGAACTCCGGCGAACAATGAACCTTTGGTCTAATAAATCATCGATACCTAGTCAATCGTTCTCTGAGATTTGTTTTCATGATAATCGAATGTAAAGAGTTTTATCTCTAAAAACTGTTTAGCGTATAATGCTAGTAATGGGGACATTTAATAAGTAAAAGAAAGCGCTAGTTTATACCACTAACAAGGCTCAAAATAGCCCCACACTAACACAGTAACATAATGAGGGTCCATACATGCAAAACGAAGCATTGAGAACTTTGTAAGTGTACAGACCGTTTAATAAGAAGATACTTTATGAAGACAGTTCACTTCGCGTATACAGACAGGAGCCATCTTAGAAAACAGTCACGACAAGTCGATCCCCGAACGTCGCTCATACAGTTCAGAAGTTCGCTGAACTTCATACAGATCAGATCACTCAGCATAACGTTCGTGGTTTGACTTATCGAGACTATTTTTTAAGATGGCTCCTGTCTGTATACGCGAAGTGAACTGTCTTCATAAAGTATCTTCTTATTAAACGGTCTGTACACTTACACAGTTCTCAATGCTTCGTTTTGCATGTATGGAGCCTCATTATGTTATTGCGTTAGTGTTGGGGCTATTTTGAGCCTTGTTAGTTATTGAGCCTTATATAATATATAATATATAATAGGCTCAAAATAGGTTATTGAACTGAATAGGTTATATAAATAAATTGATAGCCCTGCTGCACGGATTTTCGTAATTATTACAGATAATATAACAAATACATAATTATTGAAAGGCCCACATGTTTAAAGGGCGTTGTGTTTTTCATTTATTGGGTTATCTACTGTATAGTATATGTACTGTATATACTAATAATTCAACGGCCTGTCTCCAATTATTCCTTACATAAATATATGTGGAAATAAAATAAATAAATTGTAGTATAAATACTCATTTATTTATTTTTTCAACATGTCTCCATATATTTATTTATTTATGTATTATTATGTCAGATTTGTAATTCCACACCTGAGGGAGGACGTGATCAAAACGCCGTCTTTCATAATCGTAAGTTAATGTTGTTAAATTGAGAAAAACTTTAAACAGAAAATAACCAACAAAGTCTCAGTCACCAAAAGCAGCCCATACTAATTTCAATTTCTCTTTAATTAAAAAATGTTTCATTTTCATTCATTCATACATGTTGCAACAACATTTAGTTCAATCTTTTCAGTGCCATCGTTTAAAAATGCTTTATTGACTGAATAACACGTTCAGTTGTTCTGCTTTAAAATGTTACATATCTTCCTATAAAAACTACCACATTTAAAACCGTTTCACAAACCCACCTCCTAACTTACAATCAACTCGGCTGCACAAGTCATTTCACATTAAATGACATTAAACTGAAAATTAATACTGTTTAACTTGAGTAAACCAAAAACACAGTCACAGTTCTACAGTGGTACAATTTACTGGTGGTTTAACATGTGATTTTTTTTGTGAATCACATTATAATTTGTTTTAGAATAAAATTGAAAAGGGTTAAGCAAAACAAATGTGCGCATGTCTGAGAACCTTGAATATAAAGACATACACAGTGAGGTACAGTACAAAGACTCTCAGTGTCCCTTATTCTCCTCTATAATGAACCATGATTGTCCATTATTTCCATTTTCTAAATTGGCAACATTCATTTCAAAACGGTAAACAAGAGCTGCTTTGTCTACGGTTTGCATATCTGCACTTCTAGTTTCGGTTCCCTTTAAGAAAGACAGTAATAGTCTCTTAAATCTGGACTGTTATTTCTTGTCATGTTGACGTTAAACGAAGACAAAACTGAAACCCTAAAGTTAAAACAGAAATGCTCTTTAATAGTTTAGCCTAGCTATAATTGGTGCCCTTGATTAAATACGAGTCTTCAGATCTATAAGCTTCAAGTCTCATATTAGTAAGTGGTCAAACTGTTGTATTTGTGGTTAGAGTTTCATTGCTTTGCTCTGGGTTTAAGCTGTACAAGGTCCTTCTCTTTGCATAGAAAGCCTGTAATGGGAAAAGCTTATTACTAATCATCATGTGGCTTGAAGAGCGCCGACATCTTCTGCTGTTGGTTTACTGTCTCAACCAGCCGAAAACACACACACACACACAGACATTTGAATCCTAAATAATCCTAAAAGATCTGCACAAACCCAAACATTTACTCACCCTCGAAGAAATCAGGACAGAAGTGTTTGAAAATGGACAGAAGAGACAGAGTAAAACACCAGAGTGTGTCTCTCGTCTACTTCTGATCCGATAGAACAAAAGGCATCTTTATATCAGCTGTAAACAGGACCTTTATGTGCTTTTTTAAGCTTGAAAATAACCTTGCATAGTCTTCACTTCAACAATATATAGGTTAATCCTTTTTAAAGTCACAGAAGTGGTTCAGTCAAGATCAGTGAGAGATCCTCTGTCTTTCTTAGATTAAGGTTAATGACACAGACAGCAGGTTTATTAGGCTACTGTCACTTTAAGAGTGAATGCATGGACCCCATACACTGTCACACGTTTTCTGTTTACATTCATAACTGTCATAACCAACCGTTTATAAGGATATTTTGACGTGATTTTGTGTGTATATATAGCATACTTTACTGTTTCAATACTACGTGGGACTAAATTGCTTGATTTTTTTAGTGTATAAAAGTATACTTTTACGTATAGTGCCCAGGAAGTGTATTGCATTCACTTGAGGAAACAAAATTTACTATGTTTTTCTAAATTAACAAGTTAATTATCTAAGAATTACAAGATCATTTTTCATGGAAAAGTTTTTCTTAGTCGTTAATTCAGAAAAACAGAGTAGGTTATTTTTCTTCAAGTGAATGCAATACGCTCCCGTAGCACAACTAGTTTACATCTACGTGTTTGTTTGTACTGCAACTATCCTACAAGTGAACTTACAGGTATACTGATGTAAATACTTAAAGCACATTATTTAGTTTATGAAAGTACACAAGTATACTCTCAGTGAACTATTGGTTAAGTAGTTTTAATGCTACAAGTATACTTAAGTGAACTTGACGTCATACTTGTAGTTTTTATATTTGATTATTGCACTTTGTAGATGCAATCCAGTGCGACTTGCATGTGAGCATGACCCAAATAAAGCTCAGATGAGAAACTGTGGTTAAAGCTGTGGTTGAGATACTGCAGAAGTGCACTGGTTTTAAACAGCACATCATCAACTACTTTTACAAGACAGTATGTAAATCTGTGTGAAAATAGTTATTAATAGGCTACTTAATCAAAAGAGTTAACGCAACTACAAGTCATGGATACCCTAGTGAAAAAACCTAAATTAAAATGTATTAAAAAAATTATTTCATACTTAGTAAACTACAAACATGCTACAAGTATACTTAAGTGAACTTGACGTCATACTTGTAGTTTTTATATTTGATTATTGCACTTTGTAGATGCAATCCAGTGCGACTTGCATGTGAAAACGATCCAAATAAAGCTCAGATGAGATACTGTGGTTAAAGCTGTGGTTGAGATACTGCAGAAGTGCACTGGTTTTAAACAGCACATCATCAACTACTTTTACAAGACAGTATGTAAATCTGTGTGAAAATAGTTATTAATAGGCTACTTAATCAAAAGAATTAACGCAACTATAAAGCCATGGATACCCTAGTGAAAAAAAAACCTAAATTAAAATGTATTCAAAATACGTTTATTTCATACTAAGTAAACTACAAACCCATTAACATTTACTGACATATCGCTCGAGACTTACTGATATAAATATTATAAACGACTTTATTTAGAGTAAATCTTTATTGCACAATGCACATTTCTTAATATTAAGCCTGAAATGTGTTTAATATCACTATTAGTAAGGATGGTGTGATATCTGTTTAATATCAGTCTTTAAATGCAAGATGTGTGTACTTGCAATAGTTTAACTTTAGCACAATTAAATATACTTCAGCATAAACATGTAATTTATTATTTAAAATCAATATTTTTATTCATAAATATGTCCTCAATGGTGTACAAATACCTCTGCCAATTATCTGACTCATCCTCGTAAACAAAGAAATTATTATCTTTATATCCATGGGACGGGTCCACGGAGGCTCCATCTTCTCGGTTACTGATGTAACCCTCGTTCCCTGAAGGAGAGAACGAGAGACGTGACGATGATGGGGATCACTTCAGGGAGCCATATCAACTTCGAGTATCTACAGAAACAATGAACGTTGGTGGGCGCACGCATGTTTTTCGCTGAGGAGCCGAGATTGTGACGGCCGTACAGCGATGATCAGCAACTGTGGTGGCGGGACATCACGTCTCCCGTTCCCTCCTTCAGGGAAAGAGGGTTACATAAGTAACCGAGACTTTCCCTTTCAGTTGCTCATGTTCAACGTGATGTTGACGTGACGACGTTAGGGGATCCCAATGGAAAACGCCATTGGTTGCTGCCACATCCAGCGCCCTACGCAAGACTCTCAGACCCCCAACTGGCTGGGGCGGAAGGCTTGCGTAGAGGGAGTTCGGACTGCTGCTCCATTATAACCCACACCGTGGAACTCTCGGATAACACTGGGAAAGCGTACCCCTCCAGAGAAAGGGGGCGCTGCGGAGCCACATCCTGCCCGAAGGGAGGTAATGTGGAGAATACACATATGGACTGGCCGGAGGGGCAGTGCAACATATGGATTGTCACTGGAGTGGCTCCAGCCCAAAAGGGGGAGTCTACACCCGAGACAGTGACGGCAGAGCAGACTCTGCCAAGGGAAGACACGGGCTCACTGCAGGGAGCTGGATGTGGAAGAATACACGTATGGGATCGCCGCAGGGATCACTACATAAGGAACCCAACCTAGCACAAGTTACACAAGCATACAAGCACTAGGCCTGGCGTCAGACGCTCCGCAACGTCCGACTGCCGAAGGGGTGCAGAGGAACTCACAGGGTTCGCCAAATGGGGAACTTGACTTGAGCAAAAAGTGCGTACCCGCTCCGTGGAGGGGAATGTTGAAGCAAGCCGACACTAGACCGTGTTACGAGCACACAGGAAGAAACCGGCTCAACACGTAGGCTATAAAACCTAGCTAACGTCTAAGGTGCTCAGATGTCTGTCAGCAAGGCGCCGTGTGCCAGCGCCCAGGAAGAAGCGACACCCCTAGTGGAGTGGGCTTTCAACCCAGTTGGGCAAGGCACGTCTTGGGCTTCATAAGCCAAGGCGGTGGCATCCACTATCCAGTGGGCCAACCTCTGCTTGGAGACAGCCTTCCCTTTCTGCTGGCCTGTAACAGACGAACGGCTGATCTGAGGTCCTGAGGCTTTGCGTTCTGTCCACGTATAGGCGCAGAGTGCGAACGGGACAGAGAAAAGCCAGGGCTGGGTCTGCCTCTTTTGAAGGCAGCACTTGCAGGTTCACTAACTTGTAGGAGGGAAGGGAGTGGTAAGAACCTTGGGCACGTATCCAGGCCAGGGTCTCAGGATCACGTGAGAGCTATCCGGGCCGAATTCTAGGCACGATTCGTCGAGCGAAAATGCATGCAGGTCCCCTACCCTCTTGAAAGAGGCCAATGCAACCAGGAGAACTGTCTTACAGGACAAGATTTTTAACTCAGCTGATTGCAGAGGCTCAAAGGGTGGTCTCTGAAGTGCCGAAAGGACCAGAGACAAATCCCAAGAGGGTATAGAGAGTGGGCGAGGAGGAGCTGTGCGTGCGCCCGCTTCCTGTTTATAACCGCGCTGCGGGGTGGGGCGCGTGACGCTTCTCAAGCACGCCTACGTTCATTGGCTCGTTCTGTAGATACTCGAAGTTGATAGGGCTCCCTGAAGTGATCCCCCAATGTCGTCACGTCGAACGTGAGCGACTGAAAGGGAACTATAATAGCAGAGTGGGACATAGAGTGCTAGGCCAACACGTTTCATTCAGAGGCAGCGTGATGTGACTGAACGGAGAAGAAGCGGAGGAGGCAAGTTTAAAATCCGGGCCGTGAACAGGCACACCTGAATTAATCAAGTTTGTCCAATAATGGCTGACCGGAAACAAGGAGCTGGCTGAAGTTCAGGAAGTAGTGCATCTGTGCATAAAGCCAATTGCAGGGTATTTTTATTAAGTACATAAATATGCAAATGCCTTTTTCGTATGCTCATAAAATGAATGTATTTCAAATATGTTTTAGTGTTTTTTTTTTCACTAGTGTACTTAGACTTTTCTATCAGTATTAGGTAACTATACTTAAGTGTAATTTAAGTATATTTCTGAGAAGTGCATTTAAATAATATACTTTCAAATTTTTTGTTGAAAAGATGTATACTAATAGCACACTTAACAGTGAGCATAAATTCAAGTATTGCATGATGTAAAATCAAGTTGCAGTGCATAGTATCCTTGCAACCAAAGACGTTCTTTTCCCTTTGGTTTTTCTAACGCGTTTTCATCCTAGGCCGTCATATAGTGACGCTTTTGACATTTCAGGTTTGGTTTAGGTCTGGGGTAGGGTTGGGGTTTCACCACTAGGAGGCGCCTTCTGGCCCATGTATATCTGCGTCTCATATTGACGATAAAGGGTGCCATGTGCGTTGGGTGGAGACGAAATGTGAAAATCGCCAGTATATGACGCCTTGGGATGAGAACAGGCTGGCTTTTCAGACAATGTTTAATTTCAGGAGTCTCTCCCCAACAGTGTCCCGAGAAGCGCTCTTACTTTACAGACACCGAGAGATGTCCGTGCACCCAACCATGAGCATGGGGCGGTGGAGTGCACTTGTGTCCAGTACTGCACCATGTCCCCTGGTTTGGTGTGGTGGACCGACACCATAGTCTGATAGCAACAACGGCTGAATGGTACAGCAGGTCCTCCGGAGAAGAGTGGGGAATGGGTCGGTGTAATCCCTGCGGTGTGAGCACAAATCCCTACAAACACATCCTCAGGGGGCAATGGACTGGGTAATGGTATGGCAACCGCTGCTAATGACAGCTTGAGTAACGCCGGTCGAGAAAGTACATACGCCGTCCCGCTGCAGTAATCCGGAAACACCACGCCAGCGTAAGCCGTTTCTGACATGAAGTGTCTGCTGGAAGGATTGCGATCCGGTGCGACTTGCATGTGAACACGACCCAAATAAAGCTCAGCCAGTTCACTTTCTGCCGATTTAAAGCTGTGGTTGAGATACTGCAGAAGTGCACTGGGGTTAAACAGCACATCATCATCTACTTTTGCCAGATAGTGAGCCTGTGGGCAGAAACGGCGAGCCCATCCCAGCATAGACAGAGTTTTAAGGGTTAAGTTGGCGTAGGAGTCAATGAAGCGACCCTGTATGAGATCCCCGCGCTCCTTTGACTCTTCCACCAATTCTTTCCCGAGAACCGGGTCCGACGGCTGACCAACGACGAAGAGGGTCAGGACTCTGTGACCCCTGACATGTATTTCCCCACCCCAGCTGTCCCGAATGGCTTGGCGGGCCTTTCTGTTGGGAGGTGCAGATACAACCAAAGCGATGAGGAAAGGTTTGGCACGTTCGCAGACGTGGACGCTCGGCATAAGCAGGTACTCTTCCGAACGGGTTGGAGGAATGCTGTGTGGAAGAACCAGTCCATGAAACCCTTCCACTTTGCTCATGCCCAGCGAGGTCACCCATAATTCAATGACGTCGATAAAGAGTAAAGCGAGTAAAGAGCCACAGAATACTATAATGGAGAGGTAATGGATGAACCCTAAATGACCTCCTCGCTTCCCAATGCGACCCTTACAGATCCTAAAACTAGACCCTACCATTTTTACAGATCACAGGACAAACTTCTTTACTGATCCTTTTGGGTATGATTATACATTTAGATCCAGTGAAGGGACAAAAAGATGCATGGTATCCAGTTGTGCTTTTCTCTGCCAACTGCAAAAAAAGATGAACAGGTTATTGGTTAATGGCTGATATCAAGAGCAAAAATTGTATTCTTTAACTTAGAAGTTCGGTAAGATTTTTTGTGTTTTTGAAAGAAGTCTCTTCTGCTCACCATGCAAGGCTGCATTTACTGAATCAAATCTACAATGAAAGCAGTAAAATATTTATATGTGAATATATAGTCAAGTGTCATTTATTCCTGTGATCAATTAAGGTAGGATTAGGGGTGGGGTAAGGGATCAGGTGGCAGAGATGGGTAGGATATGGGGTGGGGTTAGGGATCAGGGGGCGGAGATGGTTAGGATTAGGGGTGGGGTTAGGGATCAGGGGGTGGAGATGGGTAGGATATGGGGTGGGGTTAGGGATCAGGTGGCAGAAATGGGTAGGATATGGGGTGGGGTGAGGGATCAGGGGGCAAAGATAGGTAGGATTAGGGGTGGGGTTAGGGATCAGGCGGCAGAAATGGGTAGGATATGGGGTGGGGTGAGGGATCAGGGGGCAAAGATAGGTAGGATTAGGGGTGGGGTTAGGGATCAGGGGGCGGAGATAAGTAGGATTAGGGGTGGGGTTAGGGATCAGGGGGCGGAGATGGTTAGGATTAGGGGTGGGGTTAGGGATCAGGGGGTGGAGATGGGTAGGATATGGGGTGGGGTTAGGGATCAGGTGGCAGAAATGGGTAGGATATGGGGTGGGGTTAGGGATCAGGTGGCAAAGATAGGTAGGATTAGGGGTGGGGGGGTTAGGGATCAGGCGGCAGAGATGGGTAGGATTAGGGGTGGGGTTAGGGATCAGGAGGCGGAGATGAGTAGGATTAGGGGTGGGGTTAGGGATCATGTGGCAGAGATGGGTAGGATTAGGGGTGGGGTAAGGATCAGGGGGTGGAGATGGGTAGGATATGGGGTGGGGTTAGGGATCAGGCGGCAGAGATGGGTAGGATTAGGGGTGGGGTTAGGGATCAGGCGGCAGAGATGGGTAGGATTAGGGGTGGGGTTAGGGATCAGGTAGCTGAAATGGGTAGGATTAGGGGTGGGGTTAGGGATCAGGCGGCAGAGATGGGTAGGATTAGGGGTGGGGTTAGGGATCATGTGGCAGAGATGGGTAGGATCAGGGGTGGGGTTAGGGATCAGGCGGCAGAGATGAGTAGGATTAGGGGTGGGGTTAGGGATCAGGCGGCAGAGATGAGTAGGATTAGGGGTGGGGTTAGGGATCATGTGGCAGAGATGGGTAGGATCAGGGGTGGGGTTAGGGATCAGGCGGCAGAGATGAGTAGGATTAGGGGTGGGGTTAGGGATCAGGCGGCAGAGATGGGTAGGATTAGGGGTGGGGTTAGGGATCAGGTGGCAGAGATGGGTAGGATATGGGATGGGGTTAGGGATCAGGGGGCGGAGATGAGTAGGATTAGGGGTGGGGTTAGGGATCAGGTGGCAGAAATGGGTAGGATATGGGGTGGGGTTAGGGATCAGGGGGCGGAGATGAGTAGGATTAGGGGTGGGGTTAGGGATCAGGTGGCAGAAATGGGTAGGATATGGGGTGGAGTTAGGGATCAGGGCGAAATCCTCCCCCTGGATTTCGTGTTCTGCAGTGAGGACCATCTCGGAGCTTTTGCCAGTTTTCAAACCTTTGGTAAAGTCTAGAATCACAATATATTTTAGGTATTATAGAGCAATGAAAAAACTTGTGTACAGCAGTTGTGTCAATGATGCTATCTGTACAGTGGATGGAGAAGGGAGAGTTGTGTTTTGACATTTTATGGTGTTAACTTTTTGATGAATTGAAGTGATGTAAGAAAGTGTTTATATAAAAATAAAATCTCTCTCTCTCACACAAAACCTTGAAACGCACACCTCCGTTTATATGTTTAAAAAGCAAAGCATATTTTAGGCTTACAGTCATTTCCAAAACTTTGCCTCTTTTTTCAAAGCTTTACACACTGATCGAAGAACTGCACACACAAAATGTAAAATGCATCAAAATGAAGCACTGCATTAAAAACGATACACAAACATTTTTGGATATATTATACACATATTCAAAACCTAGAGTTCTTCTTTCATGAGCTTCTATGTACATTTCAGTTCAAGATTGTCATTTGTTAGACATAAACATGGAAAACACAGAATCCAAACAAAGAAATATTTTAACAAAGTAAACTAATTTGGCTGAATATTGAATATTGTAAAGTTGAATGTCTGTATATTCAACACTACGTAACATACAGTAAACAACTGCAAGGTTAAACAATTCTAAATGAAATCTATATAATTTTCAAAAACCAATCTATCGAATAAATCACTATTTATGCAAAAACCTCAAACACATTCTCACTGTGGCACATTTGTAAACTAAAAACAAGAGAAAAAAAATGTCAAACAAACTAAAACACAGTCGTCATCGTTTACACACAACGACTCAAAATTGTTCACACTTATATAAGCCAGCTCAGAGTGCGTATGTGACACAGGTGCACTAATGGAAACGAGAAAGAGGAAGAGCGAGTGTGTGAGATCTGTCAGACTGAAGGGTTTTTCCCTTTGTTTGACAAGAGACAGCACTGTCTGTGATGAGGAGTCCTCAAGCCAGAGTCAGCAGGAACACATGATGCCGAAGCAGAATCAATCTCGCATTGGCCTTGATTTTGTAGTTGCATAACATGCTTTTCATTTAGAGTTTATTTGACCTTTTTGTCTTTTGCAGTTGGACTGCAGTATTTGTCCAGTACTGAAAGATGACTGAAACTGTAATGTAATGAGGGATAAGGTTTTGAAATGACTGTGTTACAAATGTGATCCGCTTGGATATTAGCACTAAGAGTTTTGAAAATGTAATAGAACCAAAGCGAATAAAAAAAAAAACTAAAATTATGTTGCTGCCATATGTGGGGTTTTTTTTGTTTTGTTTTTTTAAAGCATGCACTTTTTATTAGGGCCAGAGCACTAACAGTGCGAGGACCCTATTGAAACTGTTAGGGTTATTTATTTATTTATTTATTATTATTATTTTTTTCCTGCAAAGTAAACGCCATTTTCGGGGTCGCAGCATGTACAAAAGTAAGTAAGTAAAATGTATTTATATAGCACCTTTCACAGACACTTTTTCAAGAGTGGTTGAACAACAGCGTGTTTAAAACACCTAGGGACCTGGCCCAACTTTAACGAAAGGTTAATAATTGCAACATGACATCATGACTTTTGCGTAAACATATACGCCACTTTCGAGTCAGGTGGCGTGTTATCTCCACGCATTTTGAGCTATCCGCGTGTATGCGTATATGTCTACGCCATTAACGTCCGCATCATTCCGCGCGTCTGAACACGCAGTCAAATCTCCAGTCATAAATGCCATTAACCCCAGTGACGGTTAGGTTTAGGGACGGGGTTGAGGTAAGTCATATATTTATATAACGTTAAGTCAACGGCGTTCATAAACACGCTGAAAGGCGATTATGCGTCTTGATAGCACGCCAAAAATGGAAATACGAATTGGCGTGTCACGCTACTTTATGAGATCAGTCTGATAATTGAGACCAAACATGGACCAATAGATGTAATAGTTTTCTTGACCACCGAAGCAGGCAAAATTTCCGCAGGACTTTGAGATGGTTTCATCATACAAACTATTTTTATAAGATCATTATAGGATATTGACTGAAAGGAGCTTAATATCGAATGCCGCTCTGTGATAAATTCAGAGTGGATAGCTGATGGTAAAATGCTAGCCCTAACAGCCATAACTTTACCCACAAAATGAGACAGGAAATTATTACAATCATCGTTAGAAAAAAACGGTACAGATGATATAACAGGAGACACAAGACAATTAATAGTGTCAAACAAAGTCTTAGGATTCCTTTTACAAGTTAAAATCATTTTTTTTAAAAATAGAGCTCTCTGGCCTCCTTGATCATCTCATGTAAATCAGACAGTAAATCTTTAAAGGGCAACTCCGGCGCAAAATGAACCTTTAGTCTAATTACACATTGTTACCTAGTCAACCGTTATCTGAGATTTGTTATCATGATTGCCGAATGTAAATAGTTTTATCTCTAAAAACAGTTTAGCCTATAACGCTAGTATAACGCTAGTAGATAGGGCATAGAGTAATGGCAAATAAAAATCGCTTGTTATCACTAACAAGGCTCAAAATAGCCCCACACTAACACGACAGCATAATTAAGTGTCCCTACATTCAAACCGAAGCATTGAGAACTTTGTCAGTGTCCATACAGTTTAATAAGAAGATATGAAGAGTTCAGATGCAAAAGCCTCTAAGTCAGGGGTGCCCAATCCTGCTTCTGGCGATCGACTGTCCTGCACAGTTCATCTCAAACCCTAATCAAACACACCTGAAGTAGCCAATTAAGGTCTTTAGGATCACATTCAGGTGTGTTTGATTAGGGTTGGAGATGAACTGTGCAGGACAGTCGATCGCCAGGAGCAGGATTGGGCACCCCTGCTCTAAGTGCCATTTGAAATTTTCTTCTAAAATGATAATTTTTATCGAGCTTGTATATTTAAGTTCAGTAATTTCACTTAAATGGCAATGAAGATTACCTATTAATTGCCATTTAAGTGAAATTACTGAACTGAAATGTACAAGTTTGATAAAAATGATCATTCTAGAAGAAAATTTCAAATGGCATTTAGAGGCTTTTGCATCTGAACTCTTCATATTTTATACATAGTCAACTTCGCGAATACAGGAAGAAGCCATCTTTGAAAAATAGTCTCTACCAGTCGATCTACGAACGCCGCTCCAAGTTGCGCTGGTGAGATGTGAATAAGGTGATAAGGTGAGCGCGAACCGTAGGCTACGTGTACATATTGAAGAGAAGAAAACGGTTCGTGTTTGTGTTTCTTCCGGAAACAACGGACCATATGAGATTCTGCACAGTTCAGCGCACTTGGATCAGCGTTTCAAATTTTGAAAAATGTGAAAAGTTGTGTTATTATGAACATGCAATGACTCAGATGGCCATTTACTGTAAGATGTTGCTCTCCCCTTCTCAGAACTGCAGTGTGTCTGAGTCAGTTACAACCTCTTTTCGGTTTTAAGCAGAAGTGTGCGTGAGCTCTGATCTTCTCGTTTCCTCTAGAGACACGGGTGCCTCAAGCCAAGGAGACCACGTGTAAACACTGTGGCTGTTGTGTGTTTTATAGAATTACATAGAGATGACATAAATTAATCTGGAAATATTCATGTAAAATGTTATGTAAAAAAATTACACTTTATCTCAATAGTCCACTTTAGACATTGTTACAAAATGCAGGGTTGTTTTAGCCCAAATTTGGGTCAAATATGGACAAATGAATTAAAAGATTTAACCCAAAGGCTGGGTTTGTCCATATTTTACCCATTTTTGTGTTGAAACAACCCAGCATTTTTTATAGTGTAAGGGTTCAGGTTAGTAGAATAAAATCATAGTCTGTAGAAAGTCTGTAGGAGTTTATAAGATATTAAGCAGACAGTCTCTATACTAATACTCTACTGAGAGTGAGTTATTGTTTATAACTAATAGTTAGTGCGCTCTAAAAAAATGTGGGTTGTTTTAACCCAATTTTGGGTCAAATAGAGACAACCCCAAATGTTGGGTTAAAAATGTAATTAAAAAAATGGGGTCCCACTTTATATTAAGTGGCTTTAAGTACTATGTACTTAACCCAATGGCTGGGTTTATCTATATTTGACCCAAAATTGAGACATTTTTAGAGTTATATGTAGCCTATATATATTTTCTAGTATATGCTCTGATATGTTTGTTTTTCCCCCAATGTAAGCATGTGTCTTTGCTGTAAGATTGTGTGTGTGTGTGTGTGTTTTCATCAGAATTGATCGTATCAGAATGTGCATGAACACGATTTTTCCACTCAAATTTGGGTCAAATATGGACAAAACCCAAATGTTGAAAGTGAAAGTTGGGTCAAAATTTATTTCTAGCCCAACATGTGGGTCTGTCCATTTGTGTCCAAAATTTGGGTAACAACCAGCATTGTTTGAGTGTGAAGCAATGCAAGATCAGCGATAGTCTCTAAAAACTGTCAAAAACAGCTTGTATTATCTCTCTATTTCATCTGACTGCTTGCGCTGAGCCGGTTTACCACTGTGCCATAGATCACTAGTCTTAACAGACCAAAAAAAGCACATAAGTTTCCTGCAGGCTGCAAATATATATCCGTTGCTCTTATTTTGCTCTTTTCTTGTAACTCTCATTTCTTTCTACACACTTCTTACTCCTTTTGGCTCCTTCTTTCTTTATACTCTGATCTTCACAATCTTTATCTGTGGTTTTATAATAAACTTTACTTGATTAATTTGTTTGTCTCTATAATTTTGCTTATTCCTTACTCAAATTTCATGTTTGACATGATCATTGCTCATGGATCTCTCCGTATAATGTGCAGCAGGATCACACAGTTTTCCACATTTTTACCAGATTTATTGCAGCATTTATAAATGTGTTGTCAACTAAACACACTTTTTGACAGCTTCCCTCAAATTTTCAACCAAACTTGAGGGTTTACCTTTTTGAAAGTAAAGAATTTGAGACATATTAGTGTTGTATTACCTGTAGTGTAAAAAGAGTATGAATTATTATTATTTTTTAAGCGGTTGTAGTATTACAATATACAAATATATATTGTATCCCATTTTTTTTATAATTAATAAATCAAGCAACGACTTTGTTTGCTTTAAGACTGTGACCCTTAAACAGAGCAGACTGAAAGGCGTTTAAAATATGAATATTAATAGAATGGACGTACAAGAACCAATCAAGAGCTTCAGGTTAAATATTGACAGGATAAATCTCCACTAAACACCTCGCCTCTTTGAAACACTGACAAATAGGCTAACCTTCATAACGACAACGACACGTAAAGAAAAGGCTGAACACAGAGTTTTCTCTAACAGCACAGCGATGCTATTCGTGAGCGTAATTTATTTAATTAATAAGGTTGGGTTGAATATCGTGTTTGACTTCGATGATAAATAAACATATGCGACTGAAACCGTCTGCGCAATAAACTCGCTCTTGATATGTTTGCTCTGTCACGTATTAGTATGAATACGCAGCTTTTCTCAATGTAAAGAAAGCTGTGACCGCCCTTCAGAGTTCAGAAATGTGTGTCGTCGTTTCTATCAATGGGTGCTATTCTTTATAGTTTAAAATAGAAATGTTACCTTTCAAGCGCGGAATCCTCTGAAATTAAAATCACCATGCAGTTTTCATATTTTTGCCATGAACATGATAAATGCATCATTTATTCAAGGCCTGTGTAATCCATCAAATGATGAGCGAGCATTTTTAGCATATGACTGTCGATGAATATGAATTGTTGCGGTAGACACAGCTCCACTCCCCTCCAGTGAGCATCGGCGGGTGAATCTGATGTGATGCGCAGATCCAGGATCAGTTCTGTGTGTTTTTTTTTTTTTTCTTTTCAGGATCAGTCCTGTAGGAGGCTCTCCAGCTCCAGCAGTGCGTCACCATTCACAAGGCAGAGAGATTACGATATTACATTAATAAATAGCGTACTTTACTTTCCATTTTAAAATACATATTCAAAACAAATGTTGTGTGCCAATCTAATAAATAATCAATAATACAACAATCCCGTAATCAAAACGTATGTTTACTTGCATGCATTTTTTTTTTATTCGCTTTGGTACTATTACAAGCAAGGTATTTTCAAAACTCTTAGTGCTAATATCCAAACCCAGTATGGAACTGAAGACATGTTCCTGGATCAACATTTCTGTCCCAAAATGTAATGCCTGGTTCAGATTACACGATTTTAGCCCGATTTTGGCACCGTTTGATATGGAAGCTTGTTTCCGCCACTGAATGAAAAATATAAAAGGTAATTGCGACTTTTTATCTCACAATTCTGACTTTTTTTCTCACAATTGTGAGTTTACTTCTCGCAATTCTGACATTATTTCTCAAAATTGCGAGATGGAAAGGCAGAATTGTGAGATATAAAGTCAGAATTGCGTGATATAAAGTCGCAAGTGCGAGATATGAAGTCAGAATTGCGAGTTATAAAGTGAGAATTGCGAGATATAAAGTCGCAATTGCGTGTTATAAAGTCAGAAATGCATGATATAAAGTCAGAATTGTGAGATTTAAACTATTCTGAGGGGGGGGGAATTGATCTTTTTTTCCCCTAAGAATTGGCCTAATAAGTCGCAATTGCGAGTTTATATCTCACAATTCTGAGAAAAGATGTCAGAATTTCGACATATAAACTCGCAATTATGTGTTTATAAAGTCAGAATTGCGAGATATAAAGTCAGAATTGCGAGATATAAAGTCAGAATTGCGAGATGTAAACTCGCAATTGTGAGAAAAAAAGTCACACTTCTGTCTTTTTTTCTCAGAATTGCGACTTAATATCACACAATTCTGACTTTATATCTCGCAATTCTGACTTTATATCTCGCAATTCTGACTTTATAACACACAATCCTGACTTTATAACTCGCAATTGCGACTTTATATCACGCAATTCTGAGAAATAAAGTCAGAATTGTGAGATATAAACTCGCAATTGTGAGAAAAAAAGTTAGAATTGTGAGAAAAAAAGTCAGAATTGTGAGATAAAAAGTCACAATTATTTATTATATTTTTTTATTCAGTGGCGGAAACAAGCTTCCATAGTTTGACGTAGGGTGTCGTGGGGATTCGTAAACGACAACGGGCGCTGGGTAGCAAGATTTGATCGTATCATCTCGTATAGTGTGTCATAGTGGGCGACAACCTACGTTGCGTCTGCGATGCCTCACGACATCACGACAAAAAGACTAGCATGTTTAATTTTTTTAACGAGAGTTTCTGATATTATCGTCATTCTGTGAGATGAAATCGTCCTGAGAGACTGAGACTGAGCGCGAGCTCACGAAGCTCCGCCCCCTGTGCCGGCAGCAGCAGCAGCTCATTTGCATTTAAAGGGCACACACTTTTTCTGATCCACAAAAATTACAATTTAAACATGCTGTAAAAAAATGATATGTTAGGTATTTAGAGCTGAAACTTCACATACACATTCTGGGGACATCATAGACTTATTTTACATCTGGGACCTTTAAAGCTCCGCCCTCTGCGCTGGGAAGCAGCAGCTCATTTGCATTTAAAGGGACACACACAAGCTCTTAAAGCTCCACCCTCTGCGCCGGAGGAGCAGCTCATTTGCATTTAAAGGGACACACACAAAACGATGCGTTTTTGCACACCCTCAAAAAAGGACAATTTTTATATGCTATAAAAATGATCTGTGGGGTATTTTGAGCTAAAACTTCACATGCAGGGACATCAGAGAGTTATTTTACATCTTGTAAAAAGGGGCATACCACCCCTTTAAAACAATTGATTAGCTTCGTTTTCCAAAACATCTAAGTTTTAAATTTTATATGCATAAAGGCGAGACCAGGGAGTGTTGTAACATGTGATCAGTTGTAACAAGTCAGAAAGAGCTGTGGTTATGTCATCAATATCATCATACACTAGCGTCACCCGTTTGAGCTCACAGGAGAAGTGGCATGATGTGACTGAGCAACATTGTACATTTTATGACCAAAAAAAACCTTTCTTTCCTTCAGGAAGGAAAGTAAAAAGAAATGACCACAATTATTTTGTGCCCAGCAATCATCATACAGTTATTTGACTTACAAAGTAGCTATTTCTCTAGTCTAAAGTAATGCTCTGCATCCATGCTGACTTCAAACCCTCATGCCAAAACAGTTAGCTAAGTTATGACTGTTAACTTAGTGGTAACAGTTCATTAGAAATGATACAACCAACCCTGTTATTTTGTTGCGCATTAAAGGATTTGTGGTAAATATAGGGAAAAAAAACATCACTACGTGTCCCGCGAATCACCCATAAAGGGAGGATGCCCACCCGAAAACTCCACTGTAACAACCACACTGCCAAGGTCAAGTACATTTTCCTGTTACGCGCTTGCACTTAATTACACCTCGTCCTGTGTTTCCTGAAAATCTGCCTCAATTGAGCACGTACACAATTTTTGTTTTGTGCACATTTGTAAAATGTACGTGCATCTCCAGCGTTTTTTTTTTTTTTTTTTTGTGATATCCAAAAATTCACGTAAAATAGGTGGATGGAAACATGTAGTGACTGAACTGTTATTTTTGGCAGGAATAAAGTAGTGTAGTAGGAATAAAGAGTGACTGCTTGAGAATCAAAAAAAAAAAGTTAAAGTGAAAAATATTATCTGCCTTTATTCTCCCATTCTTTCCGTCATAGTTTTGTTATTCCTTGCTGAATAATAGTGTTTAGTTCCTGGTTTCCTTGTGTTTCTATAGTTACCATTGTTTGTGTGTTACCATGGTTATTGATTACCCACTTCTGTGTCCTGTGGGCTCTATGCACGGCGGTATTTCCGGTGAAGGGTTAAGGATGCTCGATAACTTCCGCCGATCGTAGAGTCCAATGCAATAGCGAGAATTTATATTGAATTTTATACTCCATGGTTATACTAATGAAACGTTAGTCACAAAAACAGATAAAACAGACACCCCTCGTTGTGTTTATGCTTCTTTTTAAAATTATATTAAATAAACATAACTATATATAAAATTACATCTAAACGTATGTACGTTTCGTTTCAAAGGACGAGCATCCTTGCGTCAAATGTTAGCCTCTTGTTATCCTTTATATGTGTTTCAGTCGTCTTTTGTTGGTCATAGTCTGTACGTGTTTTGGTAAAGCTGTTACGTTGCTAGTTTAGTTTATTGTTTATTGTTTAGTTTGGATTTTTGCTTCACATTTGGTTTATTTTAATCTGCCTAACCTGTTTGGTTTATCTTCCCTTGTGTTTCAAATAAACTGTTGCGATTAAATCCACATCTTCCCTGCTCAACACCTTTTTTCAGCACCATTTTTTATTTATACCATATAAACTACATACTATCAGAGCTTGTCTAACGGAGAGCCTTGGCACTTCCTATTAGCCCCGTTGTGTATCATCCTGGTTGCAGTTCCATTAGAATTCCACTGGAGGTGATCATGAGCGAGAGCAGAATGAATGGGAGTCTATGGGGCTAAACGGCTAAATGTGTCTCTTTCACCTGCTTGTCGTTAAATTAACAAAGATTTTATTGTTGATTCCGCAAGTTCAATATAGATTATAGGCCAAAAGTCGAATGAACGAGTACTTACGTCCTTTTGATTTCTTACAGGTTAGGCCGTTGTTGGCCTGAACACGCTAGCATTCTATGTGACGTCATCACAGTTTTGAACGGATTTTTAGAACAGATAAGTGAACTTAAAAATGCAATTTTCAGCTGAGTGTATTATCTTAGCCCTCCCTTTTGAATGCAACTTTCAAATTACTTGACAAAAAATTACATCCTGAGAAAAGTGGATTTCTGGGGGTGAAACCCCATTGACTCCCATTCATTCTGCACTCGACCGCGAGCGCCCCCGCATGGACAGAGACGTGTTACTGCAGCCGGTCCAGAAACCGGAAGTAACCAGCCAGTGCCACTTCTCTTTAATTAGACATTCTCTGATACGATTTCATGTTTATACATTCATGTACAAATCCTTATTCCATGTTGTAAAAACAAAATCATTATTTGCTATATACCAGTTCATCCCTTTCTCCTGCATGTCTGAAATATCTAATTTTCTTAAAACAGACATGCAGTCAGTCAGTTATATAGAATAACCATATTTATTTAATAAAGTTGCATTAATAGCTACCTCTTATTCTTGCTATCAGTTAAAAAAATGTTTTACATGCTACAGTTCTAAATCAAGATCTACAGGATGAATGAGAAATTTGACACAAAACAGGAATTATATTCTTAATAATGTAGCTATTGTTGTGTGTGGAGGCAGAAAGAATGCAATGGCAATGTTTATGAAGGTCAAGCCTGATTTATTTTTTACTAGAAGCATTAAAAGAAAAACAGAAGCCCATAATTAACTTAGGATTGCCGTAGGTATAAAAAAAATATTGCACATGTTATCTAACATCAAATCTTTGTGAATAAAGTGTCTAAAACGAGCAACCAATCCGCGCTCGTGTTGAAGACAGACACTATGACGTCACCGGCTCCTCGCTCCAGACGCACGTGAACGCGCCCGACAAGAAGAAACTCTCGCACGCTGGCAAACGGGGTCACGAACTATGACCTTTCACTGGAGTAAAAAACAATAACAAATAATGTGCAATAAACGTGAAGGCATAAAAAACACGTCTGTTCATATGACAGGTAAGCTGCTTTTCGTTTCTGCATGTCGTACAATGGTTGGTCAAAACGTTCGCGTGAAAAAAAAAATAATAACCCCATTTGTGCAGCTTGTTGTGTGGCTGCAGAGAAACAGGCCTGAGCTGTTCTCAAAACTCATCCGAGCTGTCAACAATCGAGCTGGTGTGTTTATTTAACGACAAAAGCCCAACCCGAGCATTGTGTGCTTCAGATCGCCCGGTACATCCCACTTATTCTACAGCAACTGCTGTATACAAGTATAATTAAATCAATTATTTTGATATGGCTAATACATTTGAAGTATTAGCTGGTTAGCATGAGAGCTAACATATGAACTCGACCCTTTTACCTTTGCCACCGCGGGTCCTTCAGTGGGAGGATTTCGCCTCAGTGTTCACTAATTTTGGTCGATTTGTCTGACTTGACACGAATATTGCGGCTATGAGTAATAATGAGTGTTTTGAGTATTAATTCTTTTAACAGACGTTTGACCAAGCCTTTATGTTGTGTTTTTCTTTCTTGGCTTTGCGCCAGAATCTCCATTTTGTTTAGTGTTTTGGACATGACTTCCGCTATGAGGCGGTAGGGCGCTTTTCATTGAACATAAACGAAATATACATTTATAATGACATTTGTAAGTGTAGAAGGAGAAAACCTAAAGCAAAGCATACACATAATTTAATTTAAAAAAAATGACGGAAACCATCTACATCACTTTTGAATAGAAAGAAATAAGGTTGTGTCTTTATATACTTACATTCATTGATAAAGAATTTATCCCAAATAATTCAGCTTTTTTTCGATATTTTTGGACAGTTCATTTTGGAATAATTCAAAATTCTATATACAACAAGGTTTCTATAAAAAAAATATATACACACACACACACACACATATATATATATATATATATATATATATATGATCAGTTGTATGGAAGCTTGTTTTCACAACAGGATAAAAAAATTAAAAAGGTAAATGTGACTTTTTAATCTGACAATTCTGACTTTTCCCCCCGCAAAATGTTATAAACTCCAACCCTCTATGGACACACTAACGCTCAAGTCGCCATTGGATAGTAATTTTGTTATTTTCTCACCAGACATGGAATGCAAGAACAATGCAAAATAAAAAATTCTACATCTACAAGTATAATATAACATTTAAATTTCAAACACCATTAGGGTCAAGTAAGCCTGTAATCAAATTAGAACAAATAATCAAACTACAAGCAAAACCGCAGATAAACTCAATTGAACAAAGATGAAAATGAAATTAACATTGTTTTTCGGGTAAATCTAACAGTTCAGAATAGGTAAAAATTTTTAATAATTCACTGTATTTTTTATTTTTTTTGCTGAATTAAAAACACAAGAGCAGAAATATTAGGCTGCTGTCACTTTAAGGCATAATGCACGGATCTTATATACTGATTGTGATACACACACGTTTTCTTTCGTTCGTGGACGGTGGGAATTAAAAATGTGAACTATTTTGACTAAAGTGTTTTTTCCCCTGCCTAGATCAAACCACCGATAAAATCTTTCAGAAAAATCGTAACATTTTCTGCCTATTTTAAGTATTGGATATTATGTTGTGCTTGCGAAACACAAATATTGGCTTGGCTGTGCTTCATAATCAATGTTTGATTGGCATATAGGTGGAGGTGTTGTTGGCAGATGCAGAACCGGTCCAATCAGACACTTCTAATGACTTCACATGACCATGACAACCAATATGGAGGTGCTGGCTCAGCAGATATTGAGCACTGAGCAGATTTCAGAGGTGAGTGATGGGAGAGGGTCTATTATAGGAAGGATGGCCATTTTTCGGCATTTAGTTAGTCAAGCGATATTTGCATAGCTACAATACAATTGTGTCCATCACATCGATGGTATCATGACACAGTGATTCTGAAATAGCCTACGCTACTCAATTATACGATACATCTTGATGTAGGCAACAAAGTGTTTGTTCACAGTATTTGTATTTATTCAAGACATTTTGATTTGCACAGTGCCTGAAATCAGTTTGCTATTTATACATGAATACAGCTATACCACAATAAACACTTCAAATAAATAAATAACTGCAATCATAATGTTGATGCTACTGTCTGAAAACACACACATTACAGCAATATCACTGTGGTACAGCGTCGCCATGTGGAAACATTGATATTTTCTGAATAACAGTAAACTTTATGTTAGACAAAGTTGATTTGTGAATACAAACATCTAATTTACTTAAGTCTCCCATGAGAAGAGATGTTTAGAAATGAGGTTAATAGAGCATTTTCTGGAGCACTTCTTCAACAGGCGGGAAAGAGGGTTCTGGAGGGACATTCAAATGTCATGTGACTTAAAAAACAGCACATCATTGGCTACCTTAAGGCCTGCCCTTTAAATTCCCACAGTGATACATATTTTCTACTTTTTCTGAATAAAAGTGTGAATATGCAACTCTGCACCATAAAGGGTTAAAAATATTGTCAGGGAGGTGTAGCCTAGATAAGATCATTAACTGTGAATGAGAATATCCATTATCTGTGCTCAATGCATATGAAAATATGTTTTATGTTTCAATTGTTTTGATGGGCTCTTTGTTGAAGCGAACCACTTAGTTACCATGGAAACACACTCTCAGATGAAGATGAATGTAGTGTGTGTGTGTTGCAGGTACAGTCATCTCCGTCAGACAGCTCAGTGATGAGCAACTCTCCTCAGCGCATTCAGATCATCTCCACTGACCCCTCCATCACGACCCCGCAGAGAATACAGGTACACACACACACACGCACATGCACACTTTTTGACACAGACACATTCACACACACACTTTCTCTCCCACAGATAGTCACTGACCAGCAGACGGGTCAAAAAATTCAGATAGTGACGGCACTGGACTCGAGCACTGTTCCCAAACAGCAGTTCATCCTGGCATCGCCGGAGAGCACCAGTGCCAAACAGCTCATCTTCGCCACCGCTGACAGTCTGGTGCCCGGACGGATACAGGTATACAGTGTTTCTGCAGCTGTGGACACAGTTATTTTTACTACACTACCAGTCAAAAGTTTAGTTTGGGATCGGTACGACTCCTCTGCGCATTTATTTAGGGCTGTCAAACCATTAATCGTGATTAATCGCATCCAAAAATAAAGGTTTGTGTTTACATAATATATGTGGGTGCACTGTGTATAATTATTTTGTGTATATATAAATACACACACATGCATGTATATTTAACCCTTGTGCTGCATTAGATTTTTAACACCGTTGAGTGCATTAAGGACCAAAAATGGCCACATATTAAACATTGCCTAAAATATTATATTATTATTTTCCACTTTTACCAAGTTAAATCTTTTAACCAGCATCAGTCCTCATCATAACTACCAAAAATGTATTCAATTTCAGGATTTTAACCCTTTAATTACCAGTTTTGTTTGCGAAACCATCGATTTGTATAAGAGGAAAAAACACAAAAATTCAATTATTTTCAATAAACTAAATGCAAAGAGAAAACTTTAGATTTGGATTATCACAGTCCCACTTTGCAAAAAATCCCACTTAGCGCGTTAGAGACCAAAAATGGCCACCTATTAAACATTGCCTATTGCCTAAAATAAGGTGCATTTCCACCCATAGGGAATAAATATGTAGTGACGTCATCTGGTGGAATACACTATATAATGCAAATATAATGCTTTTGCTTCAAAATGAAAGGATGTTTGTGCAAAAATCATGTTTCATGTATTACTGACAGCCTCAGATTTAAACAACGTTTTAATGGGTTTCAATGGGCCATTTTTGGTCTTTATGGTGCTGAGTGTTACTATTTGATCTACACAGTGTGTGTTATACATATTTTGCAAAATGGGATCACATTTTTTACATGTATCCAAAAAGTCACAATTTTGCCAAATTTCATACCATTTGCATTAAAACAGCCAAAATGGTCAAAGAAATTAAACTGCAAAAGACCAAAAATGTCCCTAATGCAGCATAAGGGTTAAGAAAAAAAATATTATTTATATATAATATACATTATATATAAATATATGAAGAGTTCAGATGCAAAAGCCTCTAAATGCCATTGATTTTTATCAAACTTGTATATTTAAGTTCAGTAATTTCATTTAAATAACAATTAATAGGTAATTATCATTGCCATTTAAGTGAAATCACTGAACTTAAATATACAAGCTTGATAAAAATGATCATTCCAGAAGAAAATTTCAAATGGCACTTAGAGGCTTTTGCATCTGAACTCTTCATATATACATGAAGATATTTCTTAAATATATACAAGCATGTGTGTGTATTTATATATATATATATATATATATATATATATAATTATACACAGTGCACCCACATATATTATGTAAACACAAACTTTTATTTTGGATGTCATTAATCGCGATTGTATTAAAAATACAACAAAAAAACTGTAATATAATGACACTGTTTTCTATTTTAAGATGTAATTTATTCCTGTGATCAAAGCTGAATTTTCAGCATCATTTCTCTAGTCTTCAGTGTCACATGATCCTTCAGAAATCACTCTAATATCTGATGATCAAGAGACATTTATTTGTATTATCGGTGTTGAAAACACTTGTGTATATTTCTTTTTTCAGGATTCTATGATGAATAGAAAGTTCAAAATAACAGCATTTATCCGAAATAGAATCTTTTGTAACATTATACTTGTTTTTTCTGTCACTTTTAATCAATTTGTTTAATCCTTTATGAAAAGGTATTGATTTATTTTGATTTATATGCCCCCCAAAAATGAACTAAAAATTCTTACTGACCTCAAACTGTTGAACGGTAGTGCTTAATGTTACTAAATCTTTCTATTTCAGATCAATACTGTTCTTTTGAACTTTCTGTTCATCAAATAATCCTGAAATAAAAATGTTTTCAACATTGATAATAATCATAAATGTTTCTTGAGCATCAGATCATCATATTAGAGTGATTTCTGAAGGATCATGTGACACTGAAGACTGATGCTGAAAATACACAGGAATAAATTACACTTTACTATATATTCACATATAAAACAGCTATTTTACATTGTAATAATATTTCACAGTATTACACTTTTTGTTGTATTTTTAATCAAATAAATTCAGCCTTGGTGAGCAGAAGAGACTTCTTTTAAACACATTAAAAATCTTAAAACCTCCATAAAAAAAAAAAAAAACGTTTTAAAACATTAAAGTCCATCATAAAAAGCTGAATCATCACAATTTCCCAGCTTCTGCTTTTGATAAGACAGCGCTATTTTCACTAAATGCAAATAGCAAAAGATGCTATTTATACTAAGTATAAAGAGGAGGAAAAAGTGTTTTCTTTACATTAGTGTGTATTTGAGTGTTAAATTATATTTACACAGTGAAAAAGGCAGTATTTTTGTTGCACTGAGTGCAAATAGTTGTTAGATGCTATTTATACTTGGTGCAGATCGTGTCAGGTACTATTTGCACCTCAGTGTATAAAACAGTGCAATAATAACAACATATAATATTCATAATCATATATTAAATAATCATGTGCCAATGCCTGTTGTTGTGCTGAAAAAAAAACTCATGTATTTTTGTATTTAGTCTTGTACAATCTGGTCTAGATCACACACTTCCACTGTTGCACAGTAGGATATATACTCTCGTGTTCTTATCTGTCCCCTGCGTTGGTCTGTGTGTGTCTAATTGTGCCGTGAAATCCTAACCCTGAATAGTAGTGAGTAATCCTTCTGCCTTTTCTGCTAGTTTGTGACAGATGCAGTGTCAGTGGAGAGGCTTCTGGGTAAAGGGGCAGACATGAGCCGAGCCCAGTCTATAGAGTACTGCCTGGTGTGTGGAGATAAAGCCTCAGGTACACACACATCCAATGCCACATTTCACAACATTACATATGAGAGAGCTTTATTAAATCAGCCTCATTCTCGCACGGCAATTGCATGCTAAATTAGCATTTTCCTGCATCGCAAGCCAAAGCACGCACATCCACAGCAAAGTAATATCTTGCTCTAATTGGGTGCTCAACTAAGGAATTGATCATTACTAAGTAATTGCATTGCATTGCAAGCCTAAATCGATTGTAAAGACCATAAGTGCGAATAAAACAATAAGGTGCGAGAGGCTGTGGTGTATCGTGAATAAGTAACGGCTAGGGGTGTAACGATTCACTCGTTTTCTCGATGCATCGATTATAAATCCTGGCGATGCATATGCATCGATCCTGAAATATGTATTTTGAATCGTGAATCGTTTATTTACGCGAATAATCGATTTAAAAGGCTAAGAATCGAATTAATCACGATTTTATAGCGATTCAGTGGTTTAAAATATATAAACACAACCTTAAAGTGTTCCTGGTACAAGCTGCCTCACGCATTGGCCGTCATACGACATCCGCATTTGATTGGTTTCACGCGCTCACTCACCCCTGATTTCTCTCGCTGAAGCCCGGTCGGTCAAATGCCTGAAAGATGAGTTTATCTTTCTACCTGTTGAGCTACTCGTGTCGTGATCAGCTTGTATTACCGCAAATTAGTTCAATCTCCCGGAATCTAGAGCGAGCGTGCATACGAGACAGAGGTTGTGCTCCAAACCGCGTATCGCGCGTTCACACACGGCTGCACGCACTCGGCAGAGAGGGAAAGCGAGCGAGAGACCACCTTGCGTGTACGGAGAGTCCATGTAATAAATGAATGAAAGCGTTTTATTTCATAGTGCCCACCCAATGGCATGGCAGCTTTATCAATGGCTTGAGCGGTTTGCCTCAAAACTATTGCTTTCTCGACAGAGAGCTCAGCTGGAGAGCTCAAACATGGACTACTCAAAAATGCAGTGGGACCGAGCGCGAGCAAAATCCAGTGAAAAGATGATAAGCAAAATGAAACTAATGAAAACGTCTCCATTAATTTGTGCATGTAGTCATTTAATGCAATACTTTAAAAGCCTTTTTCAAAATATTTGCTACTTGCAAATGCTAATTTGTAGGCCATTGAATTTTTTTTATAATAATATATTCATTAAAATTAAAAACAAACATGAACTAACATTAACAATGGACAGAATCCCCACTATCTGACCCCCGAAGGCCGCTGTGTAGGCTAATTCAAACCCAGACAAAGATGGGTGAAGCATTGAAATAATACTATAATGCATATAAAAAGTTAAGAATTGAATCGAATTAATCGAATCGCATCGAATTTGGATGTGAATCGAATCGAATCGTTCTGAATTTGCACAAATCGTTCATGAATCGAATCGAAAACCTATGAATCGTGAATCGAATCGATTCGCTGTCTACCCAAAGATTCACAGCCCTAGTAACGGCCGAAGGGCAAAGTGGAGTAACCCCTTCAGCCGTTACTCGCAATACAGCAATTGACTCGAGTACCTTATTGCTTTTATAAAACGGTTACCACACAATAAAAATATTAAAGTTAAAAAAAAATGTTTTAGTCCAACTTTCATGAAGTAAAATCACTAAAAGCCTTCCTTCCGCTGGAAAAAATAGTCCCTGACCGTGAACAGCAACAACGCTCCAATGTGTAATAAGCATTAAAAAAGCTCAAATAAACACAACATATGAACTGCAGTGTTGCACAGAGATACATAGAGCCGTCGGGTGAAGCGGTCATATCCGGGTTTTATCATGAATAAAGCTCAGCTATTGACCAATCAGAATCAAGGATTGGAACTAACCGTTTTATAAATATATATATCTTCAACGTTACATTTTTTTTATACACCCTTACTGCAGTCCGTTTTGACACACAATACTCAAAACCCTCATTGATGCGTCTCGTCTCTGTGTGTGTTTGTGTGTTTGAAGGGAGGCATTATGGGGCAGTCAGCTGTGAAGGTTGTAAAGGCTTCTTCAAGCGAAGTGTGCGCAAGAGTTTGACTTACAGCTGTCGCAGTGGCCAGGACTGTGTGGTCAACAAACACCACCGCAACCGCTGCCAGTTCTGCCGGCTCCGCAAGTGCTTGGAGATGGGCATGAAGATGGAGTGTGAGTGTTTAAAACCAATTCAGACCACATGATCATGTGCCTGACTACAATGGAGGCGTTTCTGCAGTTCAGAAACACTGACACTCATATAGAGAAGAGCTGGAGCTTTCTCGTGATCACACACTAAACACAGATGAACATAATAGGACCTCTTCAAAAATAAACTTGCACAAATGTGGCTCAGTTCATAATGTTTCATAATTGCGCAGTGAAACGCCTGAATCTCCTGACGGTGTGTGTCATGTTATTCCCACAGCTGTACAGAGCGAGAGGAAACCCATCGATCTTCCCAGAGAGAAACCGGCCAACTGTGCAGCGTCCACTGAGAAGATCTACATCAGGAAAGACCTGCGAAGTCCCCTCATCGCAACACCGACCTTCATCTCTGAGAGAGACGCTTCACGGTGAGACCTGAGTCCACAAATACAAACAATTTGCACCCTAGCTTAAACCAGACGCTTAGCTGCAAAACAAAGCTTACATGAAGATCATTCAAATTAGAGTGAAGGAGTTAAAGGAGTAGTTCACTTTTCAAAAAAAACCTTTGCTGATAATTTACGCACCCCCATGTCATCCAAGATGGCCATGTCTTTCTTTCTTCAGTCGAAAATACATTAAGGTTTTTGATGAAAACATTCCAGGATTTTCTCCATATAATGGACTTCAATGGGGTCCAAACGGTTCAAGGTCCAAATGAGAGTTTCAGTGCAAACTGTTCAAAGGGCTTTAAACGATTCCAGACGATGAATAAGGGTCTTATCAAGCGAAACGATCGCTAATTTAATAAATAAATAACAAAGTTTAAGTTTTATAAGTTCAAATGGTCGCCTTGCTCTGTTCTTGTGACTCTCCTGTTCGAACTCGTTCATCAAAATGAACAAATCTTTTTCCGAGTCAATTTGTTTGTTTCTTTCGTTGAATGAACCAAATGCCTCAGAAAAGGATTCGTTCATCAAAATGAACAAATCTTTTCCTGAGTCAATTCATTCGTTTCATTTGTTGAATGAACCAAATGACTTGGAAAAAGATTCATTCATTTTGATGAACGAGTTTGAACAGGAGAGTCACGAACGCGCATCACAGAACAGAGCAAGGCGACCATTTGAGCTTATAAAACTTAAAGTTTGTTATTTATTTATTAAATGAGCGATCGTTTCGCTTGATAAGACCCTTATTCATCGTCTGGAATCGTTTAAAGCCCTTTGAACAGTTTGCACTGAAACTCTCATTTGGACCTTGAACCGTTTGGACCCCATTGAAGTCCATTATATGGAGAAATGCTGGAATGTTTTCATCAAAAACCTTCATTTCTTTTCGACTGAAGAAAGAAAGACATGGACATCTTGGATGACATGGGGCGAGTAAATTATCAGCAAAAGTTTTTTTGAAAAGTGAACTACTCCTTTAATGTGGCGCTTCAGTACAGCAGTCGGTGTATTCATCTCATTTCTCAGGCACTCATTTTAAATGAAAGCATCTGCTACATGAATGTGTTTTGATCATGCTTTGATCCTCTGTGCAGGTCCAGGCTGTTGGACTCTGGGATGCTTGTCAATATCCAACAACCTTTAATACAGGCTGATGGCACATTACTATTAGCAACAGACAAAGTAAAAACATCTCCGTTCTCTGTGTCTGTCAGTCTTTTCTGTGTTTTGTGTCTTGGGGTTTTTATTGCTGTGAAACTTTATTATGATTTTGCACATTATAATCGTTCAGAGCAGCTGGATCTCTATGTTTGTTTTGGTTTTTCATGCTGAAATGATTTGTTGATCAGGCGGAGTCAGGACGGGGGGATCTGGGGACGCTGGCTAATGTGGTTTCGTCATTAGCAAACCTGAACGACTCGCTCAGTAACGGAGAATCGACAGACGCTCAGCTGGAGGATTCACCCAGTGAAATCACACGGTGTGTTATGAGTGCAGTATGTGTGTTTACACAGTAAAGAGATGTCGCCTCACACGGCAAAAAAGGCTTTGTAGTGTTTCGAAAAACAGTGTTTTAGAACTGCAGTGTGAGTGTAAAGCATGAATTGTGGTTCAGGGGGTTGTGCATGAGTTGCATGTTGTGGTCATTGTGTCTCAAGTACCATCATTTGTGTGTAAACAATTGAGGAAAAACTGTAAAACAAGCAAAATTGTCTGGCAATGGGGTAAGAAAAATAATCTTGTTTACCATTTGAATTAAAATGATTTTTCTTACCCCATTGCCAGTTAATTTTTCTCATTTCATGCAAAAACTCAAAAAAATTTTTTTTTTTTTTAGAAAACAAGATTTAATTTCTTGTCTTTTTACTTATCTGGTAAATGCTTCTTGATTTAAGATATTTGTACTGGAAAAAGGAATAAAAATACTAAGTAATAAAAGCATTTTTTGCAGTATGAAATGCAAAATCAGTGTTTACTCACACAAAACGTTACCATTGAATTTATAAAGAGCTCATTTGTAACTGTACCATTAAAACAAGGTGAGAATGCAATGCATTAATGTTTGTGTGATGATGTGTTTGGCGTTGCAGTGCCTTCGACACGCTGGCTAAAGCCCTGAACCCCAGTGATGCGGCGGAGGGGCGGAGCTTGTCGCAGGTGGACGGGGGGGGCGGAGCTACAATACAGGTGATCAGCAGGGACCAGATCACACCGCTCATAGAAGTCGAGGGACCTCTGCTTACAGACACACACGTCAGCTTTAAGGTGTGTACACGGCATTCTCACACTCTTTGCTAACGGTCGAAATTAAATACAAAAAAACGGTTACACTTCATTTCGATAGTTCACTTTAGACATTTCCAACTACATGTCCGCTTACTAGACTGTTAGGTTAGGGTTTTACTTGCAAAGTTAGTTATAGTCAGTAGAAAGTTGAGGGGCATCAAAATACAGTGTTAGCAGATATTAACCCTAAAACCGTATTCTGGATAAATGTGGGCAAAATAGTTTTGATTTATTTTTAAAAAATACTTCCCTTGATCTGAGTGGTACGAGACTTGGCTACTTTGCCTAAGTTTGCCTCCTGAACACACACAATTGTTTTTGACTCAATTCTACAATGTTTAGTGGGTGAAAAAAAACTCCTTGATCTTGTATTTGGGTCAAAAATGGGCACCCATAGAAATGAATGGGAAAAACTGTAATTTAGAGCATTCTAAAATAAGACACCAGGTGACAGCAAAGTCACTTCATCTTTAGGTTTTAGCTCAAAGAACTTATTGGAATGATTTTTTAATGTAGTTAAAAAAAAAAAAAACATAAAAATAAGCATAATTTACATAGAAAATATGGTACTTTTTGAAGTAAATAAATTCAAAAATACCCCCAAAATAATAAAAAAAAACACCATAAATGGATAGACAAAACTTTATCGAAGACAGTGATATAACATTTATAATAAATACAAATTATTTATTTTGTGCCCACATTTGTCCACAATTACAGGATTAAGGGCTATAAAGTGAATACGGTTTGAGGGCTACACAGTCTTACTCTAACGACTGCTAGTTGACGTGTAGCTTAAAAATTACTTATAGTTAGTAGAATGTGTTAAGTCTTAGAAAAACTACTTTCTTAGTACATGTTCCAGATGTTCGATCCATCAGTACACTTATGCAGGCCTTAAATCAGAGCAGAAAGTTGCATTAAATGTTGCGTGCATATAAAAAATAGGCATCTTCCTCTGTATTTGTGTCCTGTTTTCCAATACAGACATCTAAACCTCTTTAAATCAAGACTCATGTACTCATGAGACGCAAGTCTTGAGTTTCAGTTTAAGCTTAAAACAAGAACACACACATCTGTCCGTGAGTTATGAAGTCCATTGACGGATAATTAAATCATAAACTCACTTCATTATGATCCGTTTCCCAGAAAACGAGACTTGATATTTGATGTGGTTCTGGATCTCCAGTAAATGCATGTTGATTTGAGAATCTGTAGACGTTTGAAACACTGAGGAGAAGAGCATCACTTTAGTGCATCATGACCAGAAGCTTCAGGAAAACGTGTTCATATTTTATAGAGCTTGGGAGAAGAGTGATTCTCTTTTTGTCAAATGAATTAAGAAGTAACGGATATCAAACTCTAAAGTGCGGCTAATAAAAATCCCCTAGACATTTGCATTTAGAGAACATATTGATGCAAAACTGTTCACTTTTGTAAACGATGAAAGAAACGTGTTCTTCTGGAGTGTGTTTGATTGATCTCTCTCTCTCTCCGTAGTTGACGATGCCCAGTCCGATGCCTGAGTATCTGAATGTGCACTACATCTGTGAGTCTGCGTCACGCCTGCTCTTCCTCTCCATGCACTGGGCGCGCTCCATCCCAGCATTCCTTGCTCTCGGGTGAGATTTATATCGCAGGGTTTCTCTCTGTACTTGTGCGTGCTATCTCTCAATTCAATTCAATTCAAAATGGCTTTTTTTTTTGGCATGGCTGTAAATAATACAATATTGCCAAAGCTAGGAATTCATAGAATAATAATAAAAAACAGAAGAAAATATTAGAATTTAACTTAAATATAAATACATTTACTATGTCTCTCTCTGTGTGTGTGTGTGTGTGTAGGCAGGAGTGTAACACGGCTCTGGTACGAGCATGCTGGAATGAGTTGTTTATTCTGGGTCTGGGTCAGTGCGCTCAGATCATGAGTTTGTCCACTATTCTCGCCGCCATCGTCAATCATCTGCAGTCCAGTATCCAGGACGGTACGGTTCACTTAAACATAAACAATAGCAATCATTTTCTGGATGTATACGGATGTCAAAAAGTGCAAAGTGAATTAAAAGCAAATGAACAGGAGCAAACGTGTTGTTGAGAAGTAGACAACTATTTACAAAAGAAATCTTCAACGACTGATGGTAATATCTAGTGGGGCAAGCTACTCAAGTCTTTTGGAAATTTAGATATTTTGAATAGTTTGTTTCAATAACATTTAAGCTGCAATAAATTTGAACACAATTCCACTATCGAGAGGATACGTAGAAACCAGTAAAATACTTTTCAGTTTCAGTTGTCCAATATTCGCCCCAACGTAATGTAATATAGTAGATTACACTATTTATAGAATTACAGTAATGAAAAGCAAAGAAATTAAGTTTATAAGAGAAATACAATTTTGCTATTTAAATCTAGATGGACGGACGGACGGACGGATGGATGGACAGACGGTCAGACAGACAGACAGAAAGATAGATAGGCAGATAGATACATAGACAAACAGGCAGATAGACAGACAGGCATATAGAAAGGCAGATAGATAGATAGATAGATAGATAGATAGATAGATAGATAGATAGATAGATAGATAGATAGATAGGTAGACAGACAGACAGACAGACAGATAGACAGATAGATAGATAGATAGATAGATAGATAGATAGATAGATAGATAGATAGGCAGATAGATAGATAGACAAACAGGCAGATAGACAGACAGACAGGCATATAGATAGGCAGATAGATAGGTAGACAGACAGACAGACAGACAGACAGACAGACAGACAGATAGATAGATAGATAGATAGATAGATAGATAGATAGATAGATAGATAGATAGATAGATAGATAGATAGATAGATAGATAGATAGATAGACAGACAGACAGGCAGACACACAGATAGATAGATAGATAGATAGATAGATAGATAGATAGATAGATAGATAGATAGATAGATAGATAGATAGATAGATAGACAGACAGACAGGCAGACACACAGATAGATAGATAGATAGATAGATAGATAGATAGATAGATAGATAGATAGATAGATAGATAGATAGATAGATAGATAGATAGATAGATAGATAGATAGATAGATAGATAGATAGATAGATAGATAGATAGATAGATAGATAGATAGATAAGAATCGTCTATAATGATATGTCCAGTGTGTAAACTGTCTGCTGTCAGGAGTATTGCAGGGATCTGTGTATGAAACTGAATTAACAGCAGATCTCCTCTCAGTAGACAAGCTATCGAGTGAGCGCATCAAGCTGGTGATGGAGCACATCTGGAAGCTGCAGGAGTTCTGCAACAGCATGGCCAAGCTGCAGACGGACGGATACGAGTACGCCTATCTAAAAGCCATCGTCCTCTTCAGTCCAGGTACTTGTGCTCACAGCTTTACTCAACCCCTGAGCATTAGAAGCCGTTGTAAGACGCTTAGAAACTCTCTCTTCACAAGATCATCCAGGTTTGAGCAGCTGTGGCCAGATTGAGAAGTTCCAGGAAAAAGCGCAGATGGAGCTCCAGGATTATGTGCAGAAGACCTATCCTGAGGATACCTACAGGTCTGCTCCATATTACAGTGATATTCTGCCTCTCTATCACCTGTGTCTGTGACGTGCTGTCAGCTACCACACGGATTTAAAGTGCCTCAGTTATACTGTTTTAAGGCTCCTCATGTTATTTCGAAATCTCCTAAAATAGGTTTACATGCATCCCAGATCAAAAACACTTTTAGGCCACATCCACATGAGGCCAGTGACTTTTTCCTCAATTGTGAGAAAAAAAGTCCGAATTGTGAGATAAAAAGTCGCACTTCTGTCTTTTTTTCTCAGAATTGCGACTTTATATCACCCAATTGCGAGAAAAATAATCTTAATTCAAATTGAAAATTATTTTTTTGTTTTAAGCAAAAACTCACTTAATTTAGATTTTTTTAGTTAACAAGATATCAGTTCCTATGTATGGAAGCTTGTTTCCGCCACTAAATATAAAAATAAAATAAATAATTGTGACTTTTTTATCTTACTTACTTTATTTCTCAGAATTGCGCGATAAAAAGTCAGAATTGCGTAATATAAAGTCACAATTGCGCATTATAAAGTCATATAATGCACAATTATATGATCTAAATTAAGTGAGTTTTTGCTTAAAACAAATAAATAATTTTCAATTTGAATTAAGATTTATTTTTCTTTGCTTGTTCTAAGCAAAAACGCACTTAATTTAGATTTTTTTAGTAAACAAGATATCATTTCCTATGTCATGATTTTATCTTATATTTTCTGCCGTGGACAACAATCTTTGGCAAAACTCACTTAACTAAGTTTTTTTTTAAGTGTAAGTAAACATTTTTAAGATAAGTAAAATGACATAAGAAATTATATCTTGTTTATAAAAAAAAATGTTTGCTTTCCATTTGAATTAAGATAATTTTTCTTTGCTTGTTTTTAACTAAGATTTTTTAAGTGAGTTTTGCCAAAGGAAAATATAAGTAAAAATTTTAAGATAAGTAAAATGATTTCGTTTCCTAAAAAAAAAATCTAAATTAAGTGAGTTTTTGCTTAAAACAAGCAAAATTATCTGACAATGGGGTAAGAAAAATTTACTTTTGAATTATTTTTCTTTGCTTGTTTTACTTAATTTAGATTTTTTAAGGAAACAAGATTTCATTTCTAAAGTCATTTTACTTATCTTTAAAAAATGACTTATATTTTCTGTCTTTGGCAAAAAAGAGAGTTAATTTTCAGATGTATCGGGATGAATGTCTGTGTTTTGTTAGCCTCAGGTGTGTGTTACCTGTTCATTAACTGCTGATTGGTGTGGCAGGTTGGCCCGAATCCTGTTGCGTTTGCCAGCGTTGCGGTCGATGAGTTCCAATATAACGGAGGAGCTGTTTTTTACAGGCCTTATTGGCAACGTACCGATCGACAGTATCATCCCATATATCCTTAAAATGGACACTGCGGACTACAACAGCCAATCGACAGGCCTCGCTGTGTGATCTCACACACAACTCCCATCATCCCTCGCATATATATCACATCATACTGAACCGACCAACAAGCTCTACCTCAAGAGGAGCTGCGACAGTGAAAGCCTTTCAGTGTGTGTGACCCTACAAATGTTGTGTTGTAGTTTACAGAAAGGTGCATTCTGGGACTGGACGTTTGCCTCAAAAATTAAACAAATGCCTTTCTTTTTTTAAACCATAATTAAAAAAAAAAAACAGTTGAGCACTTCATGATGATTCCAATGGATACAATCCAAGATGAATTTTTTTTTTTTTATGACTTATGAAAATAATATCTACAGCAACGGACTGTTGAACGATCCTTTCCCATGGAAGACGCGATCCTCGATTGAATGTAACCGTCGATATCAAGACGCTTCTCTGGATCCCTGAATCTAGGTCACATTTGACAGTTATCATAATGCAGTTATTAATATGAATGGGAATATTGTGTTTCCCACCGCTCATTATTGCTCTGTACTGCCGTCATGACAATCAGCTTCTCCTCGATATCCTTTATTTATTATTTCACTGAGTCCAACTCTAAAGTCCATACAAATGTAGATGATTTCAGAAATCATCTGTGTTATTAAATGGCACATCTTTATAGCATTCGACCGCTGCTTCCTTTCGGGTGTAATATATGCACAACCATGATGGTTTAATGCAATTAGATTACTAACATGCTTTAATTTGCAGATCTTAAAGCGGTTTAAAGCGATTAAAATGCACTTATTTAACAGGATTTTTTTCTGAAACAGAACTATATTCACCTAGGCTATATTCATTTTGGGTTTAAGAAAGAAAAAGTAAATGTACTTGAACTTCCAGATTGGTTAGCCACATTGTTTTTTATGATGAACCACACACTCCCACTGTAACTGTGGTCAGTATATATTTAACCATTAACTCCATATTCTTGTGATCTGCCCAAAATGTGCTTTGTGTATTTGAAATCCTAACTTGCTAAACTGCTGGTTTTGCCTATGCATGCTTTGCTTATGCAGCAAGACCATTTTGGGCTGAACTCTGAACACGTTTGAGGTCAATCAAGTACAAAAAACATTACTATAAAGTAGGGATGCACGATATATCGGCCAGCATATCGGTATCGGCCGATATAAGTTCATTTCTAGGCAACCACCTAGAAACACCATAACAATCACCCAAAACACCCTAGCAACCACCTAGCAACACCCTAGCAACCGCCTAGCAACCATCCAGAGCACCTTAGCAACCAACAGAACACCCTAGCAACCACCTAGCAACACCATAGCAACCAACCAGAACACCCTAGCAACCACCTAGCAACACACTAGCAACCACCCAGAACACCCTAGCAACCGCCTAGCAACCACCCAGAACACCCTAGCAACACCCTAGCAACCACCCAGAAAATCCTAGCAACCACCTAGCGAACACCCTAGCAACCACCTACCAACACCCTTGCAACCACCCAGAATACCCTAGCAACCGCATAGCAACACCCTAGCAACCACCCAGAACACCCTAGCAACCGGGTGGTGAGTTTTGCCACTGCAAGCACCACTTTACATTTTCTTCTGGAAATGTACATTCTAGTTTTTAATGTTATCGTTATCGGCCTGGTAAGAAAATGTGGCAGATATATTAAAGGCGATAAATAATGTATTATTCCCTTTCAGCTGAGACACTTGTTGAGCACTGTTTATGTTTTTGATTTTCTTGAAATATTATTGAAATCTCTTTAAAAAAATGAAATTATGGTTCGGTACAACATGTGCCGCGCAAATCTGTCATATCGGCTATACCACACTATAATGAGAACATTGTTATAATTGTGCGCTTGGGACATGGATTTAATTTTGAGACTTTTGTTTTTGTAATCAGGTTCTCAAAATTAGATAAAAATTTGGATTTAAGTTTATCGGCCGATATATCGGTTATCGGCTTTCAAATATAAAGAATTATCGGTATCGGCCAAAATTTTCATATCGGTGCATCCCTACTATAAAGTGATTGCTGTTGAATAAAGCAGAAAGTATACTTCGTTTTTTACGCGTACGCAATCTCTCACCTCGAGTTACAACCCATGTAAATATCTTTGTGTTATTTCATGTACATATAAGGACTTCGCACAATCTCTCGTCAATGTGTGCCTCTATTGTCGCCAAAAATGGCGTATGGCTAAAAATATTCAGGTGTATAAAACCACACGTACACCAAAACCTATGAAAAATTCCCTTTATAATCCCAGTCTCAGGAAGATTAAGTCTTGTTTTACTATGCATATCCTCATTTGCATATGCATATTCGTCATGTTTAACGGTACAAGACATTAGGTAAATAAGAGATATGGATGTGCGTCACTTTACGTTGCTAAAAATCATTTAGTAGCCGATATTTGCCGTGTTTTTGAATAAATAAATGAAATAGTATAAAATACATTTCTTAAATTCATACATGTTCCACTGGCCAAATAGTATTTTTAATTGCTTTATATTTTAAATGGAAACAGATAGGCCTTTATTGATCATTATTTGTGTAGTTAAAACATTAAAACACGGCATGCCACAGGAAAAGTGTTCAAAAGCATCACATCCACTTCACATATTTATATTTATTAGGATATAATTAACTTCTCGGTAATGATATCATGTAATTTAAGAGCTCAACTCCATTAATGAGGCTGGGATATTTAATCTAAATATGTATATCAGATGTAAAACAGTTTAAATCCTTCTTTTATTTATTTTTGCTGTTATTGTGATCATGCACTGTATTCATGATGAATATTACAGATGTTTTCCTTCATCAGTTCCTCAGATCTCCATCGGTGTCGCCAAACGTCTCAAACGTGATCAGAGTTCACTTACAGACGCACATTCTCCCGTCAAGATTGTTTAATAAACCACAACTTATCCATATATATTTATTAATAACACATATAAATGAAACCCCTAATGATGAAATTCGTGGCTCTGCACGTTCGCGTTCGCATAAAAAATGAAGTATACTTTGACCTTCTGATGTCCATTGACAGGTATATAATTATAATAGAGTGTGTTCACTTTGTAAATGACAATACAAACATTGATATCAACTTTAATCATTAGTAATGTCAAAATGAATCTTTATAGCAATTTCTCAGTTCTGACCTCTATAACAGGAGCCTGTTTCTCATATCATCGTTACTTGGTCTCACTGATTATGTCCAAAAGATAAAAATATTTATTGTTTGATAAGCATGACCCGTTTTTTATATGCGTTTAGCACTGGCAGACTATTGTTTTAAACAAAACTGTGTATGTATGTTAAAATGCCTAAAGGTTTAACCATCAGTGACTGGTTTTTAGGTGTTGTAAATAATGCCATGTTGTAATTCTCTGTTTTCATCTGTCCGTTTCAAGCTGTGCATGAACTAGCTCATGAATTTTATTAAATTCTATACAGATGTGGAGTTTAAATGTTGTTGCTTGAAGGGGGGAATGATATTTACAGTGCATTTAGAAAGAATGAAGACGTTTTTATTTTAATTTCGTACATTTTGCTATGCTGCAACCTTAAATGTTTTTAATTCATCCCTCGTAACAAGTGACAGCTAAAACCCAGATTTGTGATAACTTTGCTGTTTTTATAAAGTCCCCCTCTGGTGTAAATCCAGCTTTTAATGTTGTTTATGTGTGTATGTGGTGTTTTTAATACGCTTTAACACACACAATGTGTAAATTCATAAGTGGACTGAGTATTTCCTCCTTAAAACTGCAGTGAACCAAAGACAGTCTCAAAAACACGCTTTGGTGTTTCTGACGTCACGAACCACCTTGTAACCAATCAGATCAACGTGTGATCGTCAACCAGTGGATCTCTGAGTGAGTGTGTGGAGGCGGGGCTCATTTGCATATTCGTTGAACCGCGTATACTAAATGAGGCGAGGGTGTCGAGTTACGGCCAGAAGATATTTCAAGGCATGGATTTTTATTCAAAGAGAAATTTTTTTTAAATATGTCATGCTGGTGATCAAAGTTGAGTTTTAATGGACACTACAAGGGGGACTTTAAAAGAGTCAGACCCTTTGCTATGACATTTGAAATTGATCTCAGTTGTATCACATTTCTCTGGATAATCTTTCAAATGGTTTGATTAGAGTTATAGAGACAGCTATAAAACACACCTGAAGCAGCTAATTAAAGTCTTCAGATGCCTATTACATTCTCAAACCTGACTAGAAGGGATAGTTCACTTTGAAACTAATTTCTGATATGTTTTAGCTTACCTCAAAGGCATCCAAGATGTAGGTGTCTTTGTTTCCACAGCATTTTCAATTTTCGTAGACCACCGGCCCTCGTCGCCGCCACGATTTTAATAGCCGATAGCATTTACAGTTTTATTGATTTAAAAGGAACTTTGTTGTACTAAAGTTCATAAATGGTCGTTCTTTCCCATAGTAATTTCTAAAACTATGTTGGGGGGGGGGGACTCTCTGCCTCAAGGGGGGTTCGGGGGCATGCTCCCCCGCAAGAAAATGTTGTGGTGCGTTCCATTCTACAGGGTCCCTACGCAGTGTTCACTGCTCCCTACTCCCTGAACACGGTATATCAGTTGATGTGGACGTCACTGACTTCCTGTGAAGTGATGTATCGATGTTCCCTTATTCACTATGCCGTTTGCAGTGCCCTTCGAACTGAACATCTTCGTTCCCTTCGAATTGGAATCTCACTTAAGATGGCGAAATACCCTGTGAAGTCCACTTCGCAGTCCACTTACGGTCCAATGGAACGCACCTTTGTTGGACATTTTAATTTTAAATGCATCAATCTCAATCTGAGAGATCACAATTAAGGGCTTCAACCCATGAACTGCGAAAAAGAAAAAAACTCGTTGAACAAAGAAAAAGTATTAATTTGTGCCAAGACAATACTGCCCTACAAAGGCAAAGTGCAGTAACTACGCAAACAAAGAAACGGAGAAAAAGTTTTTATGCCAGCCAGTCAAACATGTTATGAATAGATTATGTGGTAATGCATCTCCGAAACGGGACATAATTTAACCCAGATATTTTTTCACAAGACAGAACACATGTCATAAATCCCATTACAAGTCTTTTTGACCAAATGTGTTACTGCAACTTTGCCTTTTTAGGGCAGAATAAATAGGGCTCAAATATCTTTTTAGTTATGAGAGTCTCAGTCACATTATCAATGGTGTTTTAGGATGCCAAACATTTATTATAATAATGTAATAATGGTTTATAATTATTCCTATGACGTACTGTAAAATCCATTTATAGCCTATAAATGTAGGCCTACTATGTAAATGAGTATTTCAAAAGTATATTTTAACCTGCATTACACTATAATATAGGAAAATTAAAATATTTTTGTCCTAATTTCTTCACTTGCAAGAAATAAACCCTTGGGCTTTTATTTAGGAGAAAACACCAGACCATGATGATCGCGTGAGCAAAGTAATCACGCAGCACAAACTGGATGCTATTCTAATGTCAGTTATTATAATGGCGCAACGCCATATCATGGTTTCAATTTTAGTTCGTTGGCAAAATATAACGCTAGAGATCTTAATGTTAGGTTTTACATACATTTTTACATATGTGTTGGGAAAAGGGATAAGAA